CAGTGCTTCATAGAACCTTTTGCTTGTTACTTTAAAGGGGCCAGTGCTGGAGATAATTCAAAATAGAGAACATTAGCTATCTGTGCTTAAACTATAAACCATATGTGAATGTTAGATTGTGAATGTAAACATCGCTGTTGTGTATAACTTCTGAATAATATTCTATACAGGCTATATTAAATACTTTTAATTGTGTTATGCTCACAAATACAGTAAATAAAGACCAAGATCATAGTTGGAAGCACAGAAAATATACTTGGACTATTTTATTCTATTCTATGTGGTAAAAAAAATTTACCACTGTTCATTAATTCTTATGCATTTAAAGAAAAATATTGACTCTCTGGGTCCTTCTCATTACTGTTATTACCATACAAGTATCACCCTTGTTAAATATGAAATTCATTAAGTAAAGATTCTGCTAGAAGTATCATAAGATGACTTTGATTATCTATGTATTGTTAGAACTCTCATTAGTTATTGAAAGCCTTTCTCCTGCCCCATTTTTATAATAACCTGACTGGGCTGGAAGATCCTTACCAGGTGTTTTACCATTTCCATAATAATAGCTTTTATGACATGTTCTTCTAAAGTCATTCTTTGAAGATGTGGATAAGTGAAAAGTGACTTGAATAGGGTGAGACCCCCATGATTATTAGCAATTGCTGAGCAGAAGGCAGTGGCTTTTGAATGCTTTGCTTCTTTAACTGGTTCTGTGGAGATATTCTGTGAAAATCACAAATGTGAATCGTACAGTTTGTATGGTGGTCACTAGCGTTGTCTCCTAAGTTATAAAACACATCGGGGATTTTGTCAGAGAAATGACTAGGGAAAAAATTGGTAGGTATATACACATGGAACAATTCAATGTGGTTCTGACATTTCTAGAGTCCCTAAGTCCCTGCCTGTAGATGTTTTCAACAACATCTTTATGAACTTAGGAGAAACTGTTAGACTCATATGCTGATGTGGTAAACCTGAAAACAGAAATCAAGGCCCATGGATTCTGAAAGGAGCTGAAATACATGAATGGGTTGTCCTAAAGTTCTGAGGGCTAGGGTAATACTAAAAGTGACATGTAGCTAGAGTTTTCCTGCCTGGCCCACAGTCAGGACAAATCTCTCTCACCTGCCAGTCCCACAGCCGTCAGACCCAACCAAGTAAACACAGAGACTTATATTGGTTACAAACTGTATGGCCGTGGCAGGCTTCTTGCTAACTGTTCTTACAGCTTAAATTAATCCATTTCCAGTAATCTATACCTTGCCACATGGCTCGTGGCTTACGGGCATCTTCACATGCTGTTTCTCATCTTGGCAGCTGGCAGTGTCTCTCTGACTCAGCCTTCCACTTCCCAGCTTTATTCTCCTCCTTGTCCCGCCTACACTTCCTGCCTAGCCAATGGCCAATCAGTGTTTTATTTATTGACTAATCAGCAACACATTTGCCATACAGAACATCCCACAGCACTTCCCCCCCCCCTTTTTTTTTCAAAAAGGAAGGTTTTAACCTTAACAAAGTAAAATTACATATAATTTGGGAATTTGGGCGTAGCTTCTCTTACTACTTCCTGCTGGAGGGGGGCGCTGTATCTTATGGGGACACAAAGAAAATTTTAGGATTATGGAATAGTCCATGAGGCTGTATCGTCTGAGCCAGTTGCCTTCAAACCATTCTGGATGTTGGATCATCTGGGCCATGGTGTCATCGGAGACCTTTCAGGGGGTCTTGGCTGGTCAAACCTGATGTATCTTAATCTGCAACAAATCCATAGCCTCTGGCTTTCTGTGGGAACAAAAGCAGAGTCTCCTTTCCAAAGCAACATAACCTTATATCCAAATTTTGAAGTCATGGTATCTTTAAAATATACATATTGGTTTAACTCAACATCTTTTATGATCAAATGTTTTTCTGCAGTTAAAAATCCCAAAGACAACACAATCCAGATTCTCTGTGTAATATCCATTTTTACGTGACTTATTTTTTATACTACCTTTACTGTCTCTTTAAAGACTTTATTTTTTAAAACTATGTATTTGTTTCTATAACTCTATATATCACCTTTTTTGTCTCTTTCAAGCCTACGTATCTTTTACACACATTGTAAATTATTACATCTGAATCTGTCTTATTGTGAATCTATTTCTTTAAGCTGCAGCAGCTGTGGCTGCTGGCTCCGCCCACCTCAGCTTCCCAACATGGCGGTGGTTTACCGCCAGCTCTGGGAGCTATCGTGGGTCTATGCTTTTATCCAAGCAGCGTGTAGCCCAGAAACCTCTTATTTTTGTTTTGTACTAGAAAAGACTAAATCCACCATGCAGCTTAATGTGCCACTTGCAAAGGCCTCATTCCCGCCATAGGGCGGCAGGTCGAGCACGCACGCTAGGAACCCACCAGTAGCTCAAACCAGCAGCAGCTGCTCATTTGAGAGAGACAATTAGGAACTGTTTTTAGCTCCGTTTTAGAATTTTTTTTCTCACTTTTTAGGTGGAAACTCTTGCCACCACGTTGGATGCCATTTGTAGCTAGAGATTTGTCCTGACTGTGGGCCAGGCAGGAAAACTCTAGCTACAGTGACATGGACCTGAAATCAAAATAAACAAATGATGTTACTCAGTTCCCTTAACTTGAAAGAATGGTCCATTCTCCCTAGTGTGGATGGTTTGGGATATTACATAATAAATTCTGTATATTAGTGCCATACACATTAATGACTTCCTCAATATGTTCTGTTACTTCTCCTGTGATGGAAAAACCATATGATCCTTTCTTTAAAAATATAAGTGTTCCTGCTACTTTATCATGACAAACCATGAGTTCCGTACAACTCTTCACAGCAGGGGAATGATTATTAAATGCCAGGATATCTGTCAAAGGCAACTTTAGTTCTGGGAGAATACTTAACAATGGCTATTATACTCCTGGTATATTTATTGCAAACCAGTGTAGAATGGATTCAAAATTGCATTTTTAGTAAATAGCCAAATTCTATAGCCATTTGTAGAGATAAATTCAAAGCTTACAGAGTGAAAGTCTAGTATTTACATTGGAATGTAAATACATGAAATAAATAGATAATTTAAAGAGTTGTGTGGAGATTGACACTTTATCCAGTAAAACATTATTAATTACAAAAAGCTTGTCAATTGTGCATACTCTAACCAAGAACTCTTTAACTAGTTTGCACCTTATAGTTAGGGATTTCTGTCTTTTAGGATCTGCCTTGGAAACAAAATCATCATAGAAAAATCAGTTCCAAATTTGTTTATGCATTGATCAGTGTTAGTAAGAGCAACTAGTCCACCAATTGTTTCTGTTTGACATCTGCATGTAATATGACTCTAATTATTTTCAATATTTAAAGCTATTTGAGCGCTTTAATCAAGCTCCATTGAGTTCTTTGGTTGCTTTTATCTTGGCAGGGATGTAACTTTGTAGATAAGCAATAGGAGGGAGATACTCAGGCTTATCTGATGTACCATTCCGATCTCCTGCTCTTCCTATGTATTTTTAATTAACACACTATTCTTTCATACTCTCCTCAGTATTCCAAGATGGGTGGGCACATGAATTTCTAGCCGTCTAGGCCAAGTGTTTCACCAGTTTCTGACATCTCCTTGGCTGACAGCTCGTAGCTCTCTGTATCATTAAGTCACTGTGACATTTCTGACAGTAGCTATCCTCTGTCCTGTCCTCTAGGATACTCATACTATGAGGTGCATTTTCATACCCATTACCAAACAATCATCTATCCCTTCCTGCGCTTTAATGCCCACTATTCTACTCTCCTGTGAGTGAGCTTTTCTTCACGTTCATATAGAGACTGTACAGCATCTGTATTTTACTGCCTGTCTTAGCTTACAGGTCAGTCCATGCATTTCACCACAGATGACAATAAATCATTCTTTATTACCCCTGAATAGCATTCCCCACCTTGATTTCATGTCTTGGCTCCTGTGAATAGCACTGCTGTTGTCCATAGAGGAGTACAGGTGATAATGGTGTCCTGTTTTCGGACGCTTACCTAATGGCCCCTCAATTGATTTTTTTTAAAGGCCTTTGCAAAGCGGGGGGGGGGGGGGGGGGGGGGGGGTTAATTTCCTGGTCCCTAAATGTGGCCTGTGCACTGACTCCCACAGATGATGGACTTGAGGCAGCATAGAATCTTTACCTGTCATGGCTCAAGTATAGACCTTCTGAGATTTGCTTATCGTCTTTTAAAGAAAAGCATTTAGCTTCTGGACTTCTTTTCTATATGGAAGCTTAAGAAAAACAACAACAAAAATATTTGGTTTAAATGTGTGTGTTTTAAATGTCTAATGTCTAGTTAATTTAAGGCTGACCTGATTTCATCGTTTTCCAGGAGCATCATGGAGTAGTGAGAGCATAGTGTATGGAATAAAGAATTTTTGTTTGCGAATAGTTTTCTAAAGTTTCTCATCTAGGTAGCCTAGAGGGATGTGCATCTCTGCATTGTTTGTTACTGACCTCCTCATAGGAGAAAGAGCCATTTGCCTGCATTGGAATGTACTGCATTCTAAGGTGCTTTTTTCTGAGGCCCTTCCTACAAGGTGTGAGGACAAACTTTCAGTCTGTCTATTTCATAATTCTCCCCTCGAAGAACATGTTGAGATCTCCAGACCTATTATTCATCTTTTTTTTTTTTGGTTTTTCGAGACAGGGTTTCTCTGTGTAGCTTTGTGCCTTTCCTGGAACTCACTTGGTAGCCCAGGCTGGCCTCAAACTCACAGAGATCCGCCTGGCTCTGCCTCCCGAGTGCTGGGATTAAAGGCATGTGCCACCACCGCCCGGCTCTATTATTCATCTTTTATTCTGACAAGTGTGCAGCCTATGCCCATACCACCCTGAGTGCGCCCGAGCTGGTCTGACAAGTGTGCAGCCTTGCCCCTTCCTTGCCACCTCAGCAAGAACAGAGCCTTGTACTCTTTGCCCAGCACTGCACCATCAGATACCCAGAAGCCTCTCTGCTTTTCTCCTAGTGCACTGACAGGCAGAACTCACCAGTCACATCACCAGGATCCTCACCCCTTGCCCAGAGAAGAAAGCCTCAGCCAGACCCTCTCCAGATCCCCCACCTCAGCCTGCCGCCAGTGCCTCCTCGCCTCGATCTCATTCAGAAAGGCATCGTCCGATCACCCTGTGGCAGTCCCACAGGCTCCCCAAAGGTGAGTCAGCGCCATCAGCAACACTGAAGGCAGCTCTTGCATCCTTATGTGCAACATCAACCTGTGTCTTAGGCTTTTAATCGTTTATAAACAACTGTGGTAAGTTTCTCATTTTCTTTATGGCGAGCCTGCTGCCATATCTCTTGCTTTGTTACTATAAAATTACTATAAAAGTTACATAATTACTCAAGCATGTCTGTAGGCCCCTGATTTGCTAAAATAAATAGCAGTGTAAGTATAGTATTCTATAAAGTGGATTTAAAAGGTCATCATATACATTACAATAATTTGCATGCTGTTCTCAAATGGTATTTTCATAATGTCATGGTGAGAAAAATGTGAGGGGAGTGTATTTGCATAAGGGCTCGAGGTGTGATACATTATCACCCGTGCTTCAGGTGACTCAGAAGACAGAATCATATGTACTTTCTTTGAACCCAGGGAATTAATTACAATAAATTACAGTATTTACAAAGTAATTATTTTACTGTTTAATATTAAAGGCATAATTTTAACTTGGGCCTACAGTTCATTTTAGTTTTATGTGGATTCTTTTAAAATTTAATAATAAGAGCATATTTTGCTTTATTAAATGTAAATTTATAAAAACTTAAATACCATTTGCTAATATGCTTACAGTCTAGGATGGCTGAGGAGGACAATACATTTAGTGCTGTTTCCTTCTCTCACACTGCCTTGAACTTGGCTTTAATCTCATGTGACTCCTTATAGGACAGAACTTCAAAATGTATAGACATACAACAAATTCATTTTCCTTGACATTTTCTAATGTAAAAAACACAAACCACTTACCCAAATAAGCATGGAAATAAACACTAAAAGCTCTAAGAGGCATGCAAAATCCTCTTGGGAGTACATACCTTCAGGTTGTCCTCTAACAATTACACTGACAGATATTCTTTTTTTTTTCCATTTTAAGAACCCAGAAAGTCAAGTGATTCTGTCAGTAATTGCTCTGCCATTTATATCTTTACTGTTTTAGTAATACTGTTAAAAAAAAAAAAACTAAGCAAATGGCCCACGCAGCTTTCACTGGGCTGCAAAAAACAGTTATAACATTGTTAAATATTTCAAATCATTCCTCTTTTAAAAGGTGAAGAAACAGAAACAGTGTTAGTGGGTTTTTTCTGTGTCTCTTAAGTCCCAGAAATGAACACATAAAGTATTCTTTTTCATGATACTATAATGGTAGCCAAAGTATATAATTTTAATCTTCTACTTCTTTTTATATGATTTCTAGAACTTTTGCATGTATATAGTCATTTCTACAAAATTCTTAATGTGGTATTTGATGTAAATTTTTCATTAATTTTTAAATTTTTCATTAGTAATAAAGGAAACATTGGAAAAGTCACTTGAAAGCTTATTAGAAGTATAATAATACCACATTGTGGCTAAAATGCAAATTCAGTAATATGAGCCTGAAAGTCTTTCCAGAGCATGGTGCAATTCTTTTCTTTGTTTTGTGTTTCATCTCTCTTGTGTCTCTTTAGTCTTCTCCGTGCATGGTGAGAAAACAAGACAAACCACTCCCAGCACCCCCTCCTCCCTTAAGAGACCCTCCACCTCCACCAGAGAGGCCTCCCCCAATCCCGCCTGAGAACAGACTAAGCAGACATTTCCACCATGGGGAAAGTGTGCCTTCCAGGGACCAGCCAATGCCTCTTGAAGCCTGGTGCCCTCGGGACGCCTTTGGGACTAATCAGGTGATGGGATGTCGCATCCTAGGGGATGGCTCTCCAAAGCCTGGAGTCACAGCAAACTCCAACTTAAATGGAAGACACAGTAGAATGGGCTCTGACCAGGTCCTTATGCGGAAACACAGACGCCATGATCTGCCTTCAGAAGGAGCCAAGGTAAGTCAGTTTGCAGTGAGGAAGCTGGGGAGGAGGCGCTTGCCAAGCTCTCCAGTGGGAGGCTTTGTGTCCAGCAGGGCAGTGCTTAGTTGGTTGTTTTTACCTGCCTACCATAGATGCTCTTTTTTGGTTTTTTGAGACAGGGTTTCTTTGTGTAGCTTTGTGCCTTCCCTGGAACTCATTCTATACACCAGGCTGGCCTTGAACTCGCGGAGTTCCACCTGGCTCTGCCTCCCAAGTGCTGGGATTAAAGGCATCCTCCTTTAAACACTAACCCTTTGTCATCTGCATTCGGGAAAGAATCTAAGTGTGCAGGCAACCAAAGGGGTGGCAGCAGCAGCCATTGAGCCTCGAGGACTGAGTGACATCACAGCAAACCATCTGGAAATCATCCCTGCTGCTTTATTCCATGGTGGCTTTGGTTATGAGATCAGATCTGTGTCTTCTCCCTCCGTACTGATAATGAGTTTGCATCTTTAGCTAATATTCAGTTGATCCCAGCTTAATGTTGTTTATTTTAGGGAGAATAATCTATTCCTTCAAAACTATGGATGGAATTTAATGTGTTCATCTGACAGTCAGGAAACAGAGAGGAACAGCATATTGACACACACTTGTAATCCCAACAGGAAAATGAGAAGTTTAAGGTCTCCTCAGTTACATAGGGAACTCCAAGCTGGCACAGGGGCATGTACTTGATTTCTAGTGAGTGTGTGTTTGTGCCTGTGTGTGTGTGTGTGTGTGTGTGTGTGTGTGTGTGTGTGTGTATGTTTGTATAAACATCGTGATGATAAAATCTTTGTGAAGTGACATCATTAAGACAGTGATGCATTGGGAATATTCTGAGCCAAGAAGAGCCAGCACTCAGACACACAGCATATTAGAGACAGGAGTATCGGTTGCAAACCGTGATTGACAGTGCCTTGCCTTAGCATTGTAATTACTCCTGTAATTACTAAGATTTCCACAGCCTTGAGTCCTGTCTGGAGAGAATGTCTGGGGTTTAGTTCTCTTTGTGTTCCTCCTTTATCCTCTGTTCATCTGTGCATGATCACACCTGTCTTGAGAAGAGCCTTCGACTACGCTCTCACATGTAGTAGACTGGTTACCCTCAGGGGCTGGTCACAGGGTATTTTCTGGATGACTTCAGAAATACCCAGTATAGTAACCATCAGAGCCAATTCTTTGAAGACCCCTTGTTTCAGGATTCTTTCTGATACTGTCTTACAGTAAGTCAGTGTAGATACAAAGCTAGAACACGGCTGTTAACTTTTTAAGATGATAATATTAATAGAGGGTGCAGTTCTGCTTAGGGACTACGGAGTCACCTCTCACTGAAACCTGGGTTTTTATGCCATTTCTAACTAGCCTCTTAGAGACTTTCTGGGCTTCTACTTTCATGTCTCTCCCCCTACATCACTCCCTCCACTCCCTGCTTTCTGCCACTTACCCCTTGAGCAAATACTTTTACCTGGAAATAAAAGAATACACGTTTTTCCTAATTTCTTATTTTCTTATTCAAACTACATTGTGTGTATTAGTACTGCCATGCTCATGTCCTTAAAGATTATTTCACGTTGCAACAAAACTGCTCTTTGAACCCCCTCTTTGCAATAAGTGTTTTAAAATATGATATAAACTTGAAGTTGTTACTGCTGGGCACTAACACTCTGCCCATCTGTCATTGTTGGTTCCTTTTGAGAGCCTGAGGACCCAGCTGGTTCTTAGTGATAACCACTGTCTTTAACTTGTCATGTGCCTTGCAGTGACATTGTTCTGCAGATGACCCTACGTGTAACAATCTTCTGAAGGTATCGCTAGATAAGGGTGTCGTATGATCCCGTTCTTGTGATTGTGGCTTTTGCAGTTTGGGTGAGGAAACACATGTTCATACATATGATGCTGAGCTTATCTGTAAGTTCCACGATCTGGCTTTCAAATGGAAATCCTTCGCGCAGGTTTCATTTGCAGTGTGATACTGAAGGACATGTGATGAGGAACCTCCAGATGATGGAGGGGTCATATTTATAAGACAGGGAACACGTTTGTATTTGTACTTTGAATAAAAATAAAAATCTAGGCACCGATGTGGTGCACAAAACATGCATTCAGATAAGTATTATACATATCAAAATAAAAACAAACAAATACATTTTTTAAACAAAAATCATTTTCTTCATTGTACAGTTTTTTTTCCTAAAATGTTTTTTTGTACATTTCAAGGGTCTCAAATGTTTAGATGACATATGAGTCCCAGAAATATTTAGATAGTATATGCATCCCAGGAAAATATTTCAAACATGTAAGTTAAGATTATATGAGGCAGAGGCATACAGAAAACTAAATCTAGGATAGCCTGGCTTACAGTAAATTGGACACTTCCATAAGTCTGAGCCTTCAGGAATGTACTTATTCCACAGTCCTCACTGCGCTCTGTAAGTAGTTGGATGTCCATGACACTGGGGACGGCAGAGTACATAGAATGAAATATAGTCTAATGCAGCACAGGCAGGTCTGTGATGAACTTAATTTAAAAAAAAAATGCTGGAAAGCATCCAGAAAACACCCTGAAAAAGAAAAGGAAGGCAGAAAGGAATCCAGTTTCCTCCAAGAGGGTTCCTGACTGGAGGGTGACAGAAATTACAGAGAGGGGTAGCCCCCCCCCCCTTTTTTTTCCTGTAGGAATAACAGGAAGGAATATCATGGAGGTAGGAAATCTGGACAGTGATATGACGACGATTTTGAAGAGAGTATAGTATGTATAAAGAGAAGAGGCGTGTGCAGCAAAACTGGGTGATACAGGTTGAAACCAGTTTTGGTATGAAGCTTTTTTCAGTTCTTCATGCAGGAAAGAGCTTTTAAAGTAGTGATAGCTCCAGACTAACGTGGTCAGTGATATGGACTTTAAAAAACGTTAAGTCTTTGACACTTCTGGTGCAGTTCTGAGGGATAGGCGACAGTCATATTGGGGGCTGAGCCCAGAGGCCAGTCAGATCCTTACGTGAGTCTGGATTTTACTGGGTACTTCTTTAGCAATGTAGATGCAGTCTGTCTAAACATCCTGTCGTCTCCACCATTCACAATCAGATCCTTCAGACATCTAAGGAGTATGTACTATTCATTTTCAGCTAGGTGATAGTAGTATATGGCACTCCCTCAGGGAGTGCATCCAGTTTCTGGTCTGATGAAATGGGTAAGATTGAACATGGAAGTCAGAATCAAATCTTAGAGTTCATCCGCCAACCACTACCTTTTGGGGACAATCACATTAGATTCACAGAAATGAGTGCCAGCACGTGTAAACACGTGGCTGTTTGCATGCTTGCGTAATTTCAGTCTCCTCAAGTATTCCAGGTAGGATATTAAGAATATGCTTAAGTCTCAGGACATAAGTTAGAACCGATTACAGGAAGATCTGCTGCTAAGCAAATGATGTGTATTTGCTGAGAGTTTCTTCCAGCTATAGCAAAGACATTTCCCTCGTCAATGCCTCCACCGTTGAGGTCACCTGCCTGTTGTCACTCAACATTCATGGAAGCCCTATTGCACATGAAGTATGTAAGGGACTTTACTGTAAAATGAGTGAGACATAAAAGACTGCCTGGGCTACCAAGTGAGTCCCAGGAAAGGTGCAAAGCTACACAGAGAAACCCTGTCTCGAAAAACCAAAAAAAAAAAAAAAAAGACTGTATTTTAAAACAAGCAAACACAATGTGGTCCACAGAATATAACTACATTGCAGATACCAAATAAGTTGTTCATAAAAGACTAATTAATTATTCAGAGACAGGAGAAAATTTTAAGCTACTGTCTCTCACAGACAGTTTCTAAAGTCATTAGGTAAAATGCTATTCACACTTTGAAACATACTGATTTGTTTCACAAAGTTAGGAAGAAGTTACTTAATCCCCTCAAGTAATTGTCCTACCTGAGAATCAGTGTCCTTAGGAATAGATTTTGTGTTTTTCCAATGATCAGCTCTTATTGGCTATGTGATTTCTTATTTCTTTAGAGTGTGTGTGTTTGTGTATGTGTGTGTGTGTATGTGTGTGTGTGTGTGTTGTGTATGTATATAGTTATTCTTTTGTACATGCATGTATACATGCATGTAGAGACTTGAGACTAACTTCTAGTATCTTCCTCCATCACTCTCTCATTTTAAAAATTTATTTATTTATTTATATTTTATGTGTATGGGTATTGTGCCCAAATGTCTGTGCACTGTGTTCTTGCCTACTGCCTGCAGCGGCCAGAAGAGAGCACTGGATCTCGTGGAACTGGAGTTACAGACAATTGTGAGCCATCATATGGGTGCTGGGTGTCAAACCTGGGTTCTCTAGAAAAGCAGAAAGTGCTCTTAACCACTGAACTGTCTCCAGCATATCTATGAAATATGTTTTAGGGCCTTTCACTGACCCTGGAGGTCACTGATTTGCCTGACTAGGGCTGTCCAGCGAACTCGCGATCTGTCAACACAGTGCTGGGATTGCAGAGGCGCATGGCTCTGCCCAGCTATAATGTGGGTGCTGAGATGTGAACTCAGGTCCTCTTTCTTGTGCAGCCAGCACTTTAGCCCCTGAGCCATCTTTTGTGTCGGGAGACTTCCCTCTGTAAAGTTTTCTATCACACAGAAATGCTGTGTGCATTCTTATTCATGTACAGCTCTCCTTTATCAAAGTTGAAGCATGTTTTTATATCAGTGCCGGTAGATGTTTGGGTATTGGCATTCCTGTTCAAGTGTGTTCATAATGTTTTGATTATAAAATCATAGTTGGCTTTTTGTCAAACTAAAGTCAATACCACAATCTATTTTTCCACACCTTCCTTTTGTTACCAAACTTTTATCAAGTGTCAGTGTGATAGATATTATTACCAAAAAGAACAGATAGTCCACATAAAAAAACCTTTCATTTTATACAAGTTTTAAACATAATTTTGAACAAAATCATTAGTTTTTGCTGCAAAAATTGTAGCACTATGGCTGTTCAAGCAATGCAAAAAATGTTGGTGAAGAATACTTTCAAATGTTCAATGTTGTAATTGGCATTTGTAGTTGGATGCATGTATTCATCAGATAAAAGGTATTTTTATGTTAAAAGATTTTGTAATGATTCATATCTCTTGGGAAATTTCTCCTCGCTAGCAAAGTTCAAAAAATTTTGTCATGTTCCGTTACATGGTCCTCAGTCAAAAGCTCAAGATAAAATCATTTCATTTAAAGATATGTTTTATCAGGATGTAACTGCAGTGTGTTGAATCTAATGAGGGGAGACTGGGGAAAGAAAATTTGAGCTAACACATGCTCTCGTTTTTTAGAGTGAAACTTTAATGCTACAAAATTGGATTTTTTACAATAGATGAGAACATCCCTATATCTCAGAGGTGATCTTTCAATCTGGTGATGGGTAGGATACCTATGGCCTTTCCAGGTTTGCATTTTAAATCCTCACCACTGTGTAATATATATGACGGAGAGAGAAATTAACCAGTAGATCTGGACTCATTCAGCCAAGACTAATGAAGTTGCATCCCATCCATCCTGCCCCACTATCAGTCTCTGCTGATTCAAGATGAAGTCATAAGAGTTTATGAAAGAAGTTTATGATAAAAATGCCTAGTGGTTAGTCACAGACCTGAAAAGATCTGTAGCCTTGGGAGGATGGCTTTGTAAAGTTATCCTTCTATTTGTACCATCGTTTAAGTGACTCCAGTCCCGGGGTGTAAGAGAGGTAAAGAGCAATTGTTGGGCGTTTCCTCCAATGCTACCCTGCACTTGTAAACTGGAAGCGCCTGATCCCCAGTGAACAAACGTTGGCTCTGCCTAGCATCTGATGAACAAGGGGCCAGTTGTTTGTGGTTTTTATAAATAAACCAAAAGTATATTTGGAATTTCCACACACATGGAGAGCCAGAACAATCATCTCCTTATCTAAAATAGCTCTCAAGCTTGGTCTGGTCATAGCACAGGCCTGGCTGAGTTCATTCACACAGTGTGGTATCAGGAAATTGAAAATGGTCCTCGTAGCCCTAAAGGGATGTCATTTGGAACACCTGTTTGGAGGGAAGTAAAATGGGAATTGGGCCCACGTTGCTTCTTTCTCTAGCCAACCCCTGTTCTTGCAATAAAATCTGATCATTCTTGGGAAATGGCACTGCCTGTTTATGTATTTAGTTATCTTGATTTGATGTATATAAGTTATAGCATTGCCGCTTAGTTATGTTTAAGAACCATATTATAACATATTTTCATGTAATCTGTGAGTTGTGGTTAGTCATCACTGGTCCTGCTGACGCCTGAGTAAATTGTATGACATTGCAGTAGTCTAAATAAACTACTATTATATGAGCTCTGTAAAATTCTAAGAGCCTCCATGGTTTTAGGCTTTGCCGGGGTTCAAGTCCAGAGAACTAACCCATTTCATTTACTTCCAGGTCTTCTCCAATGGACACCTTACCAGTGAAGAATATGATGTTCCTCCTCGGCTTTCCCCTCCTCCTCCAGCTGCCACCCTTCTCCCTAGCATAAAGTGAGTTTCATTGAATTGGGAGAGTGTGTGTCTAGGCATGGTGAGATGGAAAAGAGCGGTTTTGAGGTTCTTAGTACAGAAACTGCAGGGTAAATAGAAAGGAACCAGTAAAGACAAAAGCATTTGAGTCATGTTTATAAATTAAAATATCAGATGTTGAGACCTCCTAGTCCTGATAATAGCTCCTGAAGACTTACTAAACTCTTGAGAAGACTAACAGAACAATGGGGCAAGAGCTGCACAGCAAGCTGTCTCCTCCAGCCTTCTTCTCCTTGGCTTTGACCCCCAGTGACCCAGTTTGACATCATTAAAGTTCCACCAAGCTTACTACTTCTCAGATATCTTCAGCACCCAAGGTCTGTTGATTGTCCTCATGGTGTTTTTCCTATCCAGTTAAGCTTTCCATTGCCAGCCCAAACTGAGAGCTAGACTTCTGAAAGACCCTCAGAATATCATCGTATCTACTCTATGTAGGTATCAGTGGAAGCAAAGCTGGGAATTGGGGACATGGCATGCTAGACCATTAGGTGATATCTAGCCAAGTCCCCACTCCCCTTCATCTTACGTATTCTCTTCACTGAAGCTGATTTGCTTTCCCTCCTGATTTCCCCTTCCTTCTTCCTGCTCCCAAACCAGCTTTGCTTTCTCTTTTATAGCTCTGGCTTCTTCTGTTAGTAGTCAGACCCTTCAGAATTTTAACCAGTTAAAGCTTCTAATATCTTCCTAATGCTTACCCCATAATTGTATGCACATCTGTCTGGCTTGTGTTTTTGATGGAGCACCAAATCCTACTTCTTCCTCAAGATCCATGTCTCAGCCTCTGCTTTTTATAAAAACTCATTTAATTTCTGTTCAGGGATTAATACTGATTGGCATTGCCAAGCCTGGTATTGTATACCTATAATCCTAGCACTTGGAAAGCTGAGGTAGGAAGATTTCCGTAACTTTGAGGCCACTTTGAGATATATAATGAATGAGTTGCAGGGCAGCCTGAGCTACAGAGAGTCCCTATATCAGAAAACAATAGAAAAGACTGATTTGCATTCTTGTTACAGATTTTTGCTCACTATATAAGTAATTATGTACTCTGCTATAACTGCTTTCCTAATTTTAAAAAGGTAAAGGTTTATGCCTTCTAATACTCTCATGGAAGATTTAAAAAAATTTTTTCGGATTGCTTGATTTTTATCTGCTAAAATCTTCAAGTTTTTCATTTTCTGTTGTTTATTCCCTTGTTTGCTTTGTTTTGGGCTATGGATAGAGTTGTGTCTCTTATACATGCTAGACAGCTCTACTGACAACCAGCTAAGGTCTTCCTTTATGATCAAAAACCTAGGAACGTCTTCATTCCTTCCTCTGGAGGTCTTTGAGCTCCCACTAGATTTACAAAAAGGAGAAGCTAAATCTCAGCTTCCAGAAATCTATCTACTCTAGGAAATAATATTTTATCATGTGTCATGTCAGAAGAAAGCACTGCACCAAACAGTGTTGCTGCGGGATGTCTTTCTATAGGCTGTGAAGGTGTGTTGCTCTGATCGGTTGATAAATAAAGCTACATTGGCCTATGTCAGGGCAGGATGGAGCCAGATGGAAAAATCAAGAGAAATGGGAGAGAAGAAAGGAGAGTGGGGCAAACACTGCTAGCCACCGCCAGGAAAAACAAGATGTAAAGTACCAGTAAACCATAAGCCGTATGGCAAGTTATAGATTTATATAAATGGGTTAATTTAAGATACAAGAGCTAGCTAGCAAGAAGTCTGCCATAGCCATAGTTTGAAAATAATATAAGCCTCTGTATGTTTATTTGGGTCTGGGCAACTGCAGGACCAGGCAGGACATAGAAAAACTTCCAACTACACAATGTAATGCTCATTGACTAGTTTTAGGATTTTAAGGAAAGCTGTTACAAACTTTGCCAGTGAGACATTTTTCATAGATGGAACAGAATAAGATGGGCACAATTAGATACCACAGTCCCTGAGAGGGTTGGGGGGAAACAGAGTGGAATTTGGTATCTTTCAGGGGAGAGTAGAGAAGCTGAGCTATTAGATCCTTCCCTGAAGGAGCTGCCAGGTCTGTAGGAGACACAGCAGTCAGAAGCAGTTACAAGCACTCTGTCATAGAGTCTAGTCAATGAGAACAACCTTGATAGTCTAGTTCCATGTAGACTCTAATGTGTGTACATACAGTAAGACATCTGAGCTAGCTTCATAACCTCTAAATTCAAAGTCTTCGGGAACAAATTAAATGAGGTGGTCCTCATTACTTATTAACACCCCTCCTCCATGCTTATTTAATTAGAGCTGAGCATGACTGGAGAAGGGGTTGTAGTTTTCTTTGTTTACACTTGGTCCTTCTGTAAATTGTGAACAGCAAATTCTTAGCAAAATACATTCACTGGTAAGCTTCTTATACTTAACTTTGTAAGAGCTTCTAAGATCAGGTTATATTTTCTCTTCATTTTCTAATTTTTCCTCAATATTTCTAGTTTTAACTAGAAAAATATTTTAACAAACATGTTTAGCAGCAGATTAGTTTTGATATTGTATGTCACAAATTATCCAAAGTTATAAGTTGGATTTTATTATTATATTTATCTTTCTTTTTCCCCTAACTATAATTGTAGAAATTATGTAAAGTATATAAAAGAAAATAAAATCATAATCCTAACAGCACATAGACATACCCAAAATACCAATATCAAAATTTAATACGTGTGCATTTTTTTCATTGAGACCTATTTTAGCATCATTTTGGTTATTTGTGGACATGACTTCATGCTCTCCCTTGTCACTTGATGTTATCACATCCATTCTTCCTCAGAGTAAATATACTGTTTTTTTCCTGTGAAATCATGAAATTCTGAAGTCAGCAGTAGAATAAAATCACACTGGGTTCCACACTTTACTCCAGCACTCATTAGTGCCATATTTTGAAGAAGGTACCCTCTCTGGTCTTCTGTCTATCTGGCTAATAAGTAAGAGGATACATTTAACTTAAATGTTGTCTAAAATCCTTGGAGCTTCAGCTCCCTATGCAGCAATTGCTATGAGTTATTCACTATGTGGTGTTAATTTTGGTGACCCAAATGCTCTCAAGTGTAATTGGCTGACCATATTCTATTGCATAAACCAGTATGAGTTGAACTATTGTCCTTACTAATGTTACTATTATAATTGTTTTAATACTTTTATTATAATCATTGTATTCATATTGTTATTATTATTATTATATCTGATATAATGTGGATAATGAAATCATACATTGGATAATACCTACATCTTCTGTTATTAAGACTGTTCCACTTTGACCCATTGGAGAGTATGGTCGGAGTCCAGCGAGCATACACCATTGGTGGATAGTGAGAAAAGGTCTTAGGAAAATGCCTATGCTCTCTAACATAGGGCTATTTGACCTTTAGATTCCTATTGCCATCTTAGATTATTGGTCAGTGTTCAAACATGAGGCCAAAGTCAAATTATAAATCGCTGCCTAAAATAAACTATTGTTCTCACAAATGACGAAAACCTCAGGGTTAAATTAAGAATCCCAAAGTTAGCAGTTAGCATTCAGTTTCTCTCATGTTATTAAAGTGGTTTCCAAGATTATTAGACATTTGATACTGGTACTTGATGCCCATTTTCTTGAGGGTGGGGGATAGTCTATGAGGTTTCCCTTCAGGCTAAACTTCATCTTGGTGATCATGAGACTCTTATTACACAATTTTTAATTTATTTCTGAAAATATGATAGTGTATAGTAAAAGTAAAACAGAAACAATCATTATTTGTAGAGATATTTTGTTTCCTGAATTTTTTTCTAAATGGTTTCTACTTAACATTATTGACACCTAACTATAAATACAAAGCTTTAAGTAAACACTTGAAATATTTATTATAATATTTATTATAATAACTTTTATAGAGAGAACAAAAAATATTACATAGATTATTTTATTTTATATTTAAATTGTAATATAACATATATATTTATATATAAATGTATATTATATGTTGCTTATTAAATTATATTTGATTAATTTCATTTTTAAGTTCTATGAAATGGAAGACTAAATGGTTCAACCTATATTGGCCTTACCATACTATACTGCCAAATGAACAGAGACGATATTATAAATAATAATGGAGTGGATACTTCCAAGTAAAACAGTGTTGTAGAATGCTGAGGGATGTCACTACTCTCAGAGAATGGTTTCCTTATGCTTTGCTGTTTACAAATGGACCGTTGTACTTTTGACACATTAATCACAAGCTTTCAAATACCTTGGAACCAATACTGCTTGGTTCATACTTTTCTTAAAAAGTTCTCTGTTGTAGGAGGTGGTGGTGTTTATTGTTGTTACACATCCTTTAAGCAAATAAGGTACTAATTTCATGGGTTCATTGAGAAGAGCATCCAATTTTTGTCCAGCCATCTTATTTTCATTCTGTTGCTATGCTCACTGGAGACTGAGGAGAAGATAAAAACCATCCCCTTCGGAATGGATGCTGTAATTAAGGAGAGCAGAAAGTAACAGGTGGCTGTGCTGGATGTTGTCAGTTAGAGGGAAGTGCTGGCAGGCAACTCACACTTGGAGCAGGATAACTAATGACTCCCAGGCTTTCACTGGAGATGAGGTCCTAAGGAAAGGCTTCTCTGGAAGGGTGTGTTTAAGCAGTACCACAGAAGGGAGCTAGGGCCCAACCTGCCTGTGCAAAAGTGTGATCCCAGGGCACAGGTGTGGAATGGCTGCAGCTCTGTCTCCAGGTTAAAAACAAATCTGTGAAATCACTCCCTATCAAAGCTTCTTCTAAAGCTCCAGGCTGCAGCACACTCGCCTTCTCTCGATAGCATGAAAGAACCCTCAAAATTGTTGTAAAACTCATGCCCAGTATTTTTTGGTAAATAATTTACATGCTGCAGACACAACATACTCACGTCAAATATCACTATTTTGTTTTGCTGATTCTTGGGCTTTGGTTTCTCTGAGTTACAGATGTTCCTTGTCCGGGTAAGAACAGTGAAGCAGAAGAAACCTGAAATAAACCATATGGCAGCTTGAGCTTCTATTTTAATAAAAACATTTGTACCTTCACTTTCTGCCATTAGTGAGTGAGCAGCAATTCTTCTCTATAGAAAACAAGTCAAATGACATATTATTTGAAATCCTTTTCTGTCTGTGAAAGGTTCTGAAAATCGGTGCTCTCTCTCTTTCTCTTTACCAGCTTGGTCATTTTCTTCTCTAATACCCCGTCATTATTTTTATCTAAAAGCTTGTAAGTGCTCAATTATGTGCAAAGTAGGGTAATCCTTGATGAACTTAAGGTCTCCCCTTTAACATATTGCAATTCAGGCAGAAACAGTAAAATAACAGTATAGTAAACACAGTGATGGAAAAACATATGCTAAGGATACATAATAGAAAAGGTCAAAGAAAATTATTGAATTTGTTTCACAGGGATTTTTATAAACACCAGAAATGTGAAGGGGTCTGCTTTTTGTTTCCAAAGAAAGTTGATGTGTCAAGGGTTGCTCCAATTAGGAATGAAAACCACTTGAGGGCAATATTTGAGGTGTATTATAGGGGTGGATGGTAATGGCATGTGCAGTCAGTCCTGTTATACACCTCACTCTGGGAATATGCAGTTCTCAGGAGGAATACACTTGTGAGCCTTCAGCTTTGAAAGGTGTAAGTATTCACCACATCCCTCAGAAGGCATCTGCAATGGTCTGAAAGTCGACCTCTTTCTTAACATCAAGCATACGCCTTTGCATTCAAGACAGCAAATCAGTATGTGTTTAGGAAGGCTCAGATAACTTTCAAGTCAAGGGGATCATAGTTATGCAACCTGGAAAAGTGTATCCCCATGTGCAGTGACTCGGGAATGGCAGCAAAGTGCAAGACGTAGCAGGAATGTGGAGTGATATAACAAACAGCGTTGAAGTAATGGATATAAATGACGGAGTGATGACTTAGCATCTTTAACTTGGAGCCAGCCAAATAGCCTGTCCACTTTCTTCCTCTGGGATCCGAGAAATGTCATTTAAAGACTAAGTCTACCATCTAGATAACATGCACAGTGATCCTAAGTCTCTTTATGCCACCTCTTGTTGACTAACACATAAAGGTTTGGATGGGTTGTTAGAGGGGAAATTGCACGTGTAACTACACAGCAGTTAATTATGTGAGTTTGGATTTGTCTTGGTTTTTTGTACACAACTTCTTTCTTACTTGAACCTTTGTCTGCAGTTTCTTTTTGGGACAAGGGTGGCTTTTATTCTTCTTATTCCAAAATGTAATAGTGAATGAAATGTGCTGAACAAATATTAGAAATTGGTTTATATGTACTTTAAGTAGAATATTATAATTTTCAGGAAAATTGGAGGTAGATGTGTAAATATTGAGTAAGGTCACATTATCTCAGATAAAAATAAAAATCACATGTTCTCCCTCACAGTGTACCCTAGCATGTGCATGTACCTGTGAGTGCATGCGTGTGTGTGTGTGTGTGTGTGTGTGTGTGTGTGTGTGTGTGTGTGTGACATGTGGGTACACTATAAAGTGTAGGAAGAAGTACAGGAAATGGTCACTGTTAAGTGAACAGAAAGGACTCCGTAGAGGTAATGGCCATTTGAGTGGATGTAAATATCATTTTTTTTCTAACTTTGACTAAAGAAGGATATAATAGTAATTATCTTTATAGTTTTAGTTTTAATGTGTCATGTATTTTTCATTTCATGTGGGTGGATAAGTGCATAAATATACTTGATAGTGAGGTTATAATATCCATGGGAAGTCCCACAGTTTCTTACTGGTTACTCTAACTGTAACAAAAGTTGCATAAAATATATAGACTTTGGGTCTGCTTAATTTCACTTTTAATGTCTTTTTATATTTACAAGTTCTTTATAATAAAGTTTTAATAAATTTTTAAAGAATTTAAACCTAAGAGAAAGTAGGGAACTTTCTTAAAAGACTTTATTAAAATATGATAAATGAGAAATACCAGAATGTATTTTTCATATTTCAATATAAAGAGCACAGAGCTTTCTTCACTTCTAGTTATAACACACCAAAATCCATTTAACCTGATAAAATCCCCAACTAGTAATTTCTGACACTCAGCCCTTATTGTTTGATAAAATACTAGAGAATTATTCCTTTCGTATTTACATCAGCTGTTTTCTGACTAACAAAAGAATGATTGCCTTGCATTCAGCTGGGCAAGATCTTCTGTCAGTGAAGGTAAAATCTAGAATTATCCATAGCAAGTGTGTTTTTTTTTTGATTGTCCATTCTTGCACTGGCAAAATTGTCAATGGATGGAGGCACTTGCCTGAGACCCACGTGGTGAAAGGAGAGAGTAAGAACTGACTCCCACAAGTTGTCCTATGACCTCCACACATACCTTGGCACGACCACACAGACACATAAATAAATAATAAATGTAATACAAAATAAAAACAATTATTCATTCTTCCTAATGAAGTGCTGCTTTGGAAGTAACCTGTGACAGATTTGAACATTGCTGCCATAGGTGTGGTTATTGAATCTCAGGACAAAAATTTCTCTTTTCTCTCTACATTATGTACTTAAGTTGTGTAAAAGTAGAGTGTGCATTGAGACTGAGAGTCGAGGACATAGGACGGTGCACACAGGTCACACTTGCTCTGGTTCTAGAGACATACTGGTCCTTGCAGTAGTTGGTGAAATTGATGTCTGTTTGCAAGAATTTAGCATTTGCAAGAAAATACAGTTGTTTCTATCCTCTTAAAACACTGTCAGGTCATCATTTTGTCAGTACATAAAACACTTACATACTTGCCTACCTTTAGTCGGAAGGTGTCTGCCAAGGTTCAAGCATATTGGCTGCAACACCTCAGTTTATTAATGAGTGTTGTACCCTGTGTTCTGGGCTTAGGTCACCATTAACTGTCATTGGATCCTAACATACCTCTAACAAACACAGCTTTAACAATCAGTACTGAAAACTTCTTCAAAGAAGGATTGAAATATAAGCTTTCGAAAACTCCTAAAGGAGTCTTTCCTTTTATCCCTGAACTCCCTAGAAATGTATCTATACAGTTGAAACTTAAAATCCTTGGGCTTTCCAAACTATCTTTCCAAATGGGCACATACGTACATGCACACACAGAGAACACCTCCGAAATTATTCTCCATTGTAACAACTGTTCATCCTAACTGACCCGAAAAGGAAATAATTCTAGAAAAGTCTCCAAAGTCCAAAGCTTTGTGAGCATTAATTACATTAGGGATATGCAACTGGTAAAGTATGCAAATGTTCCAAAAATTGAAGAAAAAAGATCTGAAAGAGGTTTAGTTCCAAAGTGTTCAGATAGGGACAGTCAATGTGTGGCAAAAAGAAATCAAAATGAAAAATGTATTTTGTGGCAAGAATAAATGAAAATTAAAAAATGCATAGGCATGATTGCCTCATATACCAAAGGGCCCTTGCTCCCTCTACAGAAGGTGCTGAAACATTACACCCTTTTTTTTTTTTAAATGAAACATTTCCTATGAAGTTCCTGATGATTAAAATGGATTTGAATCCATGTTTTTCTAGTACCTAGCAAACTTGCCATTGAACATTTTTCCTTTGGAATCTTTCTTGGCCAATAACAGGGTTAGAGTAAATTCCACAGAGGAAGTAGAAAGTACTTCTCATTTTTATATATTTACCCAAATGATGAAGTAAAAAGCTTAAATTTATCATGGTATTAGATAATTGTTTTATTCATTGTAACTCCTTTTACCAATTAGATACTGCAAATTATAAAAATAGAGCCTTTCAAATTCAGAAGTTGAGCGAATTTTGGGATTATCTGCTTCTAATTCTGGTCATGTTTGGTTCTCGGTTCTTGCTGAGGGCGGAACTCTAGCACGAGGTTCATCAGCTCCGAAGCAAGTTGTTTCTTTCCTTTATAGCTTTTTAAAACTCTAGGTACAAGGCACAGACCACACGTTTGAACCTTTGAAGAACTTCCTGTTTGTAAGGCACTTTCTTTATTTTATAATTTACGTTTTTTCCTTATTGCACCCTTTAAAAACCATAGGTATGAGTGTTTTATCTCAACGTGTCAAGGCCTTTCCATTTATACTGAATGTAAGAACCATTTATAGTTGAAACATGCAAGTGACAAAATAGCTTTTTCCTTTGTGTGTGTCACATCAGACCTTCCTACTCTGAATATTTATGATGTTTAAACCAGATTGGATTTTGTTTTTCCTCTTGGTAGGTGTACTGGTCCATTAGCAAACTGTCTCTCAGAGAAAACAAGAGACACGGTAGAGGAAGATGACGATGAATACAAGATTCCTTCATCCCACCCTGTTTCCCTGAATTCACAACCATCTCATTGTCATAATGTCAAACCTCCTGTCCGGTAAGAAGATGAGCATCCTTGTACCATCCTGCATCTGCATAAGCATCATCAGACTGTCAAGCATGGGGGTTATTTGTATGCAGTTCACCCTTATGTGTTTGGCTAAAAGTCTGTAACTTCCTGTTCCTAGCCTATCCTTCCTATATATTTTCTTCATTGCTTTTAGGTAAAACATTTTGTTCTCTTCACACACACCACCCCTCCACACAAAAGCCAAATTACAATATAATAAAATGTAGCTATACGTTACTTATAATGATGATTAATGCATGCATTTCCCCTAAGGTATTTTAATGAGTTTCATCAGCTGCAAGCCTATATATCATGAAGAAAAATTAGTGCTTAGAAACTAATATTAAGGTGCTAGGTCAACCTTCCTTAGAATTTTTCTTCATAATGTGAAGACTAGTACAATTTATATCCATTTCGCTTCTTGATATGTAATGTGCTTCTACAATCATAAGACAGTGGGGGAGGGGCCCTAAAGTTCCTTCTCTTAACTTCTTTTTTGACCAAGTACTGTTTTACCTTCTCTTGGGTGGGACCAGAATATAAGCACTAGTTTCCTTTTCTTTTTCTTTTTGTTGTTTGTTATCCTTACTGTAATGGAGACATTCTTGGTCTTTGAAGTGTCAGCCACATTGAGTTTTATAAGAGCTATCAACTATGGCTTACATATATTGAAATATCAGTTTGTCTTTAAGCAAAATCATGATTTTGCATGTATGTAACAATGTAATTAATAAAATGTAATAGCATTTATATGATCATTTTTTTATCTTACTGACATGCCAAGTATGTAGCAATCTAATCTTAGCTTTAAAACTTATTTTCTGAACTTGGGTTCCCCTTGCATAATATCCCTGGGGCTATGCTTGGCTGCTCTGCTCAGCCCCTGCTGGTGGTGGCCCTGACTCCTAGAGCATCCTAATAACTGGGAGACAGTGAACCCATCAGCCATCTGTCCCATGGCCTATGTCGTTCTGAGGCCAGGTCAGTCAGCTGATAACATTTTATGAGAAGTGTTTCCTTCTTTTGAGGTAAACACTTCTCCAGGTATGTCACTAGGTAGAAAAGGAAATACTTGGAAAAGAAGGGGATCCTTTTCTTTTTCTTTCTTTTTTTTTTTTTTTTTTTTTTTTTTTTTTGAGACAGGGTTTCTCTGTGTAACCTTGGTTATCTTGGAACTCGAACCGTAGTCCAGGCTGGCCTCGATCTTAGAGAGATCCACCTGCTTCTGCCTCCTGAGTTCTGGGACTAAAGACATGTGCCACCACCGCCCAGCTAAGATCTTTTTTTAAACCAAGTTGTGTCTCATAAGGGATACTGGTGGGCAGAGTTGCTCCCCAGGCTTAGTGATGCGCTGTAGTCTGCGCTTTTACTGATTATGGCAAGAGTCAGCTATTTCTTGTTAAAAATGCTGTGGAGTGTTACTGAGAAGAAAACAACTGGGAGGATGTTTGTGACATTGGGAGAACCTAGCACCCACTGAGCTAATAGGGGGAAGTCTCACCTTTTCATCAAGTATAAATTGCTAACAAATTCCAGTTCTTTGGCTCTTACTAAGTGTAGTAATTTTTAAAAGCTGAAATTGGACAGGAATGTTTTGGTCTCTCTGGGATTCTCATTCTTTTCATGGTTGGAAGACTGAAGGATACAATTTTAGTTCATCAAATTTTAATTGTCACCTCGTAGTGAATGAGATTTCAGTGACTGGCCTCTTGGATACTGAAAGTAAATTTGAATTATAACCATCATAACCATCTCTCTACAGTTATAGAGAAGTTATAAATGTTGCTAATCCCTAAACTTAATTGTAATGAATTCTTTATCTAATTTGTTCTCGAAAACCAATGGATGGAGTGACATCTCATGTCATCTGCAGAATACTTCCTCTCCATTGCACTCACTTCCTTTTCCTGTATGCTACTCACCCCCCTTCCCTTTGGAACATCAAGAAAAATAAATTGTCAATATGTGGGAAGTGAAACAGTAAATGAATAATTCAATTCAGTTTCAGCAAAATCCATCATCATTATGAAGATTCAATATGTAACTATTCTTAAATGAACCATATCTTGCCCGTTAAGAAGAAGTGGCCACCAGAGAGAATAGAAATGAATTTCAGATGAATCACTCTTGTAGTATCTATTGAAATATCCACTGTCTCCTCTATTATGTATGCACTTTTCCTTTGCTCTAAGAAATCGGAATAATTCAAAAGAAAAGTCTAAAGCGTCCTTTTCTGTGGCTCCTTATTAACCAGCTGTTACCAAGCCAGGTACTAAAGAGCGAGTGTGCTCTGTGTCTCCTGGCCCTCCTGCGTCCTCCCATGCCCCAGTTACATCCAGCATTGATGCCAACACCAAAATCTTGCCTTTTTAGTGAATTAATATTTACCTGGATTAAACACTTGCTGTGCATCCAAAGCCTTTGTTGACATCCCTTCCCTAAGGTGTCCGAGAGCCAGAGTTTGCTCTGCACAGTAGTGAGTGATACAGGTTTAGAAGCTGTAGGGCTTTGAGTGTTCTGTGCTGAACTTAAATGAAATGGTTGACTGCTTCATAGTAGTTCCTCTCTTTTAAGGCCCTAGTCTAATTTTATTTCACAGAATGCTTAAGTTGCATAAACAAACACATTCTATGTCATCAGCAAATATTGAGGCCATTAGAACTTACATAGTTTTGTGTGGCATATACTTCCCTATCCCTTCGGAACTTTTGGTTAGATACAACTGAAATCTTGCAAAGAGATATGTTAGTTGCACAGATGTGTTTAGGTTTTGACCAACTCTTGGCAGTTTTAGTAGCTCTGGTTTCAAATGGGGAGAGAGACACTTTTACCTTCAGACATTTACATCTGATTTTAAAGTACATGGCAGGGTAGTTGCATAGTGTTACTAGTACTTCCTTCCTGAAAAGACAATTGTTCCTGTTTTGTAGTCTTATTATCTTTGTAGGTATGACAGTCCCCTCTGTGATCCTCACTTCATACTGGCCCTGACTTTTAAATGATTCTTGCCCTCTGGTCTCCACATTAGGTCTTGTGATAATGGTCACTGTATATTGAATGGATCTCATGGTACGCCTTCAGAGATGAAGAAATCAAACATCCCAGAGTTAGGCATCTATGTGAAGGGTATGTATGGAATGCCTTTTCCTTTGCAATCTACATCTTAATGGTTGGAATTTAAAGGCAAAGTTCCCTTCTGTGTTCATACTGAAAATACATTAAGGTTTTGTGTTATCCTCTAGGAGATGTTTTTGATTCAGCCTCTGATCCAGTGCCATTACCACCTGCCAGGCCTCCACCCCGGGACAACCCAAAGCATGGTTCTTCACTCAACAGGACGCCCTCTGATTATGATCTTCTCATCCCTCCATTAGGTTGAAACTTTAAAAACAGCTTAAACAACCCCTGCCCTCCTCTTTGTAGCTGCATTATTAGAATTAAGAGTCCAGTATAATGCAGACTCTGGGTTGAGAATTTGCCTAATCTTAGAATGGGTCCTCCAGGTGATGGTGGCTCCTGTGTTCATGTGACAATCACTGTACCAGAAAAATTAATGATATAGGAAAGAGCTGTGAAATTTTAAGTGGTTTTCATCTTTAATATTTTTTAATGTGTCTGAATTTTCTATAATAATGCACTACTTTTATAATCAGAGCAAAACACAAGCTAGTTTGTTTTAAGCTGTATTTCAACTATCTCATCCTTTCAAAACTAAAACAAAATAATGACCTAAAAGAACGGACTATCAGTGAGGATTTCAGCAGGTTGTCTCTTCTAGGCGAGATTCAGTGTTAAGACCCCAGAGTGTTGCTCACTCTCCTGGCCTGGGTCTCAGTGACATTCAAGTCACTGGAGTGGTAAGGCAGGTCTCCTCCAAGTGTACTAATTCTTAGTAAGCATGAGCTGCACTTTACTTCAGCATGAAATGGGCAGGCCCTCTTAGGTTAACTAAATTATTAAAAAGGATATATTTCATTCTAGAAAACAAAAACAAGTTCTGTTTAATCCATTTATAAGCTTTCTGAATTGTTTGTTAAACCACCCAGAATATTAAGTGAACTTCTGTATTTCCTGATGTGCACCCCGACCAGTATTTTGAACTGTCCAATTACAATGTCTTTTGCCTCTTTTATTGGTCAGGGGTTTTTGTTTTGTTTTGTTCTGTTTTTCCTCCTCTGCCTGAATTCAAAGACCTTCCTAACTTCTTGTCTATAGTCTTGTTTTCTTGTTTGCTTTTTCTCTGTGTTGGATATTGATCCTCTGCTCAAGTCTCAATGGTCTAGATTACATTGTTAAATAGACTTCTCTGTGGGTCTTTCAGGGATCTGGGTGTTTGCATCCCATCTAGTGAAGTCATTTTTTGTTGTTCTTGTTGTTCAATATGATAGCCATAGGTGGGTGATGACCTTGCTATTTAGCTAACATAATAGAAGTTACAACCCATCTCTTTTCTTGGGCCTTGCTCTAGCTTGTCCCTTGCATCAGTTCATACTGTTCACTCAGCTGAAGACACTCACTTCTTGATTTTCCTGAATATCTGTTTCCAAGCCTCTGGTATTCCACATGTTCCTAATTGTCAATACCTCATGGATGCCACCTGTATTTCTCTTCTCTCTTCTCATAAACTCTCCTTTATAAGACCAATCACACACTTTGACCTGTCAGTCATAAATGTTTGTGAACAGGTTTTAGCTCCCTTTGTTAGAATCTAAGCTACTTAAGGTTTGATATTCATATCAGTCAATTTCTAGTATGGTGCTGATATTTAGGGGCAGAAAAAAAAAAGATTTGAATTTGATCATGTGGCAGCAAGAGCCTGGAATGGTGACAAATCTCTCCTATAGCCTCAGATACTTTTAATTAGAAAAATATTTATGGTTAGATCAAATATTCTGCATATTTTTGCAAAGCAAGCACAATGAATGGCAAATTCCCTTTAAAGTATTTATATTTAATTCATTCAGCTTAAATACATGTGAATTTTTATTATTATACTGTGAAGCTGTTCATATATAGCTTGTCTCAAATATGACGTACATATTTGGAAACTATATTTCCTTCATAAAAAACTTTATTTTTTTAAAGGTTCAAGGTAAGAAAGACTCTGAGTAGTCTAGCAACGTGTGGCAGGAATAAGTACATAGACATAAGACCACACTGCAATATTGTTTATACTTTCAGTAAACCTAGAAATACATACGTGTAGGCCCCTAGCTTTGTGGCCAATCAAAAGGGGGTCTCCATTGACGTGTTCTTCTCTGGAGATGACTGCTAAGTAAACAGTCCATTCTCCTGCACTTGTGCATGTGCTTTATATTTTGATGGTAAATTGAATGTTTGGTATAGTTTAAATGAATTACAGTCCATTGGAACAAATGTGAGAGGTGGTTGGAAGTGTTCTTTGGCATTAAATTATATGTACATGGTGTGATTTTTCTCATGAGAGGCCATGAACTCTCTTTATTGCTCAGAGATTTCTGTTTTACTGGCTTTACTGATAATAATTTTCAGTTCAGAGTTCTGGTATACTAATAGTACAAAGGTTACAAAGGGACCATGAGCTGATTCATAATCAGGAATGCTGCTTTTTATAGAAAAACTCAGAAAGCAGAAAAAAGTTTTCATAGGGGTGTTTCAGTGTTTTGTGTGTGTGTGTGCATATGTGTATATTTTCTCTCCACACTCTTCCACAAAGTAATCAATCTCATTATGAAAGTCAGGGAACTATTGAATAAAAATAGCAAGTGAACTTACTTAGATGTAGTGGGAGAAAAGTCAGCCATGGCTTTGGCTTGATTCTGTGTGTTTTGATTAATGAAGTTCTACTGTTGATAATGACCTTTCTTTAAATGCAGGTGAAGATGCTTTTGATGCCCTTCCTCCATCTCTCCCTCCTCCCCCACCTCCTGCAAGACATAGTCTCATTGAACATTCAAAACCTCCAGGCTCCAGTAGCCGACCTTCCTCAGGACAAGACCTTTTCCTTCTTCCTTCAGGTAGGAGTGAGTGATAAGCCAAGAAAGAATTTTCTCTTAAACAAAGTACATCTGAGATCACGCCACCAAATTCATGTTAGTGTTTCCTGAGTCTCTGCTACACTTGCAGAAAGACTTCTGGGTAGTGAGAACAGTGGTTGGCTGGTTTGCTTGACAGCAGATTGGTTTAATGGCGGAACATCACAGAGATGGCAAGAACAATAAGGAATCATAGTGGTTGCCCGTGGCCCAGTGGCTGACTCCAGACCCATGTGCATGTAAGCAGCACCAATTAAATTTAGTGGGCTATTTAATATTTTTTAAAAAGATGCAAAGTTGGACTGAAGATGTTGTTGGTCGGACAGAACATTGAAGGTGGGTGGGAGGGAGTTGGGACTGGGTTGTACATTGTATGCATGTAGGGAGTTTTTTAAGAAAAAGAAAAGAAAGGACAGAGGGAGCATGGTCTGCATAGTTTATGAAGCCAGTAATACCTTCAGGTGCCAATGGAGTCTACCTTCATGCAGCTTATGGATTCGCAGGATGCTAGCTAAGGTCAAGTGTCCTAAGGTCATCTGCTCCAAGTAAAAAATAAGGCAAGCATGTAGCCACAACTCTTCAGTGCTGTGTTGTAGGCAATTTCTGATTGGCTTCCTCTGCATACCTATTCCCTGCATGATTTAAGCCCTGATTCATGTGGCCTCTGTGCACTGGCTTCTTTTACAACAAAGTCAGGATTTCCGAGAGCTAGCTGAAAAGATTTTGGTACATTTTACAAAATGTTTAATCATTTTTCTAAAGAAATAAAATGGCACATTGCTAATGGTAGTTCTTCACTCTAAGAATAAAACTTCATGAAAGACATACTTACTAGACTACAGTTCAGCTTCCTGCTTTTAGAATTCTAAAACTAAAAGAAGGTGGTGGCCCAACTCCCTCTGAATGTTTGCGACTGTGGTCTCCCTGCTGCATAGTGTGTTCTTAATTATTGTACTTAAATTATTTCACAGGGCTGGGATTTGAGGTCCTTGAGATAATAGCCCAATTTAAAGACAAGATAGATACCTTACAAAAAGATACTGCCTTTTCTCAAAATATTAGATTAAACATCCACCTCTGTATGCCAGCCTTCTATGCCCTGCACACTGAGTCAGGTCCAGCGTGCCAGCCTTACCACCCAGGGACTTCTCTGTAGTTCAGTTTTCAGATTGCAGGAGCTGCCTTTCTACAAAGAAGCCTCGTGCCTCCAGTCGGATGGAGGAAGGGAGGCCATGCAGAGATACAGCTCAGTTCCTCCTTTGTGCTTCCCATCTTGGGCTTTCACACGAGATTTCTTTTGGCAAAATTATAATTCCCACTACCGTGCATGAGCCATCCATTAGGAACAAGCCAATCAAACATTAACAAAACCGGAGTCCTCAACAAAAGCCCCATGATTTCCTGTCCCCAAACCCAAGGCAACTGCTGGCACACATGCCTTTTTTTCTGTGTAACAAAAAGAAGGAGAAAGGAAGCATTCCTTTGTATGGCAAGGTTGAAATAGGCATTTCTGCAGCTTTGTGCCAGGCAGGGCCTGCGCTTAAGCAATGAAGCCAGGATAGCACTTAAGTCTTGATCGTACCCTGCGTGAATCTTTGTGAAGGGCACAGGATGCACTGTGTGTTTGGCAGCCTTATTATGGCTTTCTCTTGCTGTTCCTCCAATCTAGAGTCTCTTGAAGTTCCTATCCAGTCTCAAAGTCACAATTCAAGTTTAAAGTCTAATGAAGTTGACTTTGTTCAAGAGAAGCCGTATTTTTAACTTGGAGGCATAGAAGTTCATCTGCATAAATAAAATACAAAGAAATATCAGGTGACTGGCAACAGCCATGGAAAAGGATGCAGGGGCTATTATTTACTCAACCCTAGTGAAGCGTTGTCCTGATGGGGCTAGCCAGAGAGCTGATGCCATCTGGGAGGTTGCTGTCGCAGAGCTAAAGTCAGATAGTAAAGTCATCTTCAGTGCCCTTCCCATGTGGAGGCCGCCATGTTCAGATGTGGGAAGTTCCAGGGCGAGAGCAGCACTCCTTACTCCTACAGCTTAGCAGCATCTTCTGGGGATTTGCTGTGAGTGGAAAGTCAGGCAGGACCTTCCTGTGCTTAAATTAAACTCAGTACTACATTGCTTCTTTAGCAAATTGATCACATTGTATATGTTACATTCTCAAAAAATGTATGACTGTATAATTAACCATTGGCTGAGGCATTTTCAATTTGTATGTTTTAATCATAAATATGGACATTAGGCTTACTTAGTTTTTTCAGAATTTAATTGCCAAAGCTTTATTGATTTTCACATTTTCCTTATCAGAGGACAGCTTGTAATTATAACACTGTCCGGAGTAATTATTCTACATAGTGCCATTTCCTTTGAAACAGTAGCTCCAGTTCCATAACTTACAGCAGGGATACCCCTTCACCTTGTACCTCACCAGGAGCACTTAGCTGGAAGCAAGTAGAGTGTGTTGCAATGGAACAGATCCTGTGTGTTTTTGCTGTGGTCCTAATAATTTAGTGTATCCCCTTTTAGGTAAAATAGTTTAATGGAAAACATTTAAAAACTATGATTGTGTATTTTGTACTCCCATTTATAATGCTGAAATGTATACAGATTTTAACTTCATTAGCTTTCAGTGACTGTCTAGAAATAACATAGATATGTCTGGGAAGCCTGTGAATTGGCTCTAAAGCAATAAACCAGTGTAGATACTGTGAAGGCACCATAAAGCTGCTGATAATTGCTCCAGGAAGAGTAAATAAAATAATAATTAAATGGTGCTTACCTTCTCTAGTCAATAATTAGTATAAAAGTGGGCAAGTTCAAAAGCATGTAAATTCTTCTTAAATAATCACATTCTATATATTATTCTTGCCAAATTCAAATGAATAACCAATGAACTAAACTATAGCCTAACTATATATTTACAGTCTGTCTTTCATTATATAAAGTCTTTGTCATCATGGATTTATTTTTAGTAGTTAAAATATTTAATAAGAATAAGCTAACTGCCAAGAAGTTTGCCTGTTGCTGTATTTGAGTAAGGAGATATGATATAAACCATATAAGTGAGGAAAATCCTGTCCTCCAAAGAACTTGGAATAACTTCAGAGATGGTACCTGCAGAAGAAAATAACATGAGAAAAACGTGAGAGTGGAAGTGATGGCCTATAAATTATTAGTGATCCAAAGATGTCAGAGATAATGTTTTTTTTATTATTCTTCTGTTTAGAAAAGAGTGAGGTGCCAAGGCTTTTAGCCCAAGTACCTCTAATTTCAAAGCAGTTAGGCCTGTGGTTCTAATGACTTCTGCCAACACAGACTCGTATTCTCTCTGTAGTTCCACTTAATGAACTCTCTCATGTATAGTGAAATAATTTTTGAATCTACAATTTATGCTTCACAATTTTACATGGCAAGGCTTTTAAATAGCACATTTTTACTGCGTATTCAAACTTTATTTTTATTACTGGTATTTTGGGGGGGGGGGACAATTGAATTTACTATTCAATGAGCCAGCTGACAACTGAGTATTAGCATATTTTGGAACTTGCAATGTAGTGCAATGAATAAAAAATACCTTATATTTACAGATATTTGTACATTCATTAGTTCATTTACAAATTCCAAACTTCAGATATGTTTACAGATTTATGTTGACGTACAGCTTATGGAGCCCAAGTGATCCAACTTAAAGGCAAACTGGATGCTATTTGCTTTTCATGCTTCCTTCTCAGCAGCTTTTATTCATTAAAGAGCATATGTGGGGACAGAAATTATAGCTAAGAGGAAGCTAACTAAGTAAGTGATCTGAAAAGCTAAATCAAAATCTGTAGTCATAATTTCAGAAGTAAAGTGAGCAGCTTACCAAAACAAATGAATGAGTTAGAAAACACAAATAACCAAACGAATGGAAACACATGAACTATGAACCAATGGCTGAGGGGTCACCAACTGGATCAGGCCCTCTGAATGGGTGACACAGTTGATTGGCTTGATCTGTTTGGGAGGCATCCAGGCAGTGGGACTGGGTCCTGTGCTCATTGCATGAGTTGGCTGTTTGAAACCTGGGGCCTATGCAGGATCGCTTGGCTCGGCCTGGGAGGAGGGGACTGGACGTAACAGGTTGATCTCAGTCCGCAGGGAAGGCTTTGCCCTGGAGGAGATGGGAATGGGGGGCGGGCTGGGGGGAAGGTGAGGGGGGGCGGGAGGGGGGGAGAACAAGGGAATCCGTGGCTGATATGTAGAACTGAATTGTATTGCGAAATAAAAAAAAAAAAGAAAACCCACATAGTCCAAGTGGTTATTATTGGTCAGGAAATTAGTTGTCCAATTCATTATGAGAATCTACAGTCCTTCAAAATTTCTCAGAATTCTTTCTTCAGCCAATGAACAGGGATCATCCTTTTAATTAAAAAATTATCTTTATTTTCAAGATCCCTTTTTTGACCCTGCAAGTGGCCAAGTTCCTTTGCCTCCTGCCAGGAGAGCACCAGGAGACAGCGTCAAACCCAACCGAGCCTCCCAGGACTATGACCAGCTCCCTTCATCTTCGGGTGAGTTGACTGGGAACAGCAACAATGATGTCCTATTTTCTATAGCACTTTCTGCTCTGTAGCCTTGTCTTTAGTTTATTGCACTATACCTAAGCATTCACTCATTTTTAACATCCTTTGTATTTGACTTGTAAAGCATCCATATGAAAGCACCACGCAGAAAACTGCCTCAGGGAAAGAAAAATGAGGCTTAATATTTTGTGTGAACAGTCAGTAAGTCCCCAGTCTTTGTTTCAGGAAATATTGTTTCTTTCCCCTTATGTTTTATCTCATCAGATTTGAGAAATACAGAAAATCTCTTTGTGCGTCTGCCCATGCTGTGTTTTCTCATTTCACATCAAGACAGAAGTCTTTCTAGAAGTAATACTAGTACCAAACCAGTATTACTATTAATTGTTTTTTGTAGTTTGTTTGTTTGTTTGTTGTTTTGGTTTTTCGAGACAGAGTCTCATATGTAGACAGAGAGTCTTCCTAATACCTGTCACTGCCCCAGATTTCATCATGCATTTATTTGCTTGACTCGCCTGTCTGTATCCTCTGCTTGTGTCTTAACACTTTCAAGCGAAGAGTGTCACCTCAGGTTGCTAGAGTGACCCCACAGGCTAGATGCTAATCAACAGATATTCATTTCTTACATCCTGAAGGCTGAGAAGGCCAAGAAAAGTAGCACATATTTGGTATCTGGTAAGAATTGGCCATAGGTGCCCATCTTCCTACTCAGCACAGTGAAGTGCTGGACTTTTTTATATCGATACTAATCTCTTTCCTGAAAGTTCCACCCTCACAACTTACTCAACCATCACAAATATCATCTCACTGAACAGTACAAGCAAGAGCAAGGAACAGAGCCACAGCACTGTAACCCCAGCTCTTAGAACTGAAGCAGGAGCCTTACAATGTGTTTAAGAACAGACTGAGCTAAAAGTGACATAGTAAAGCCAAGGTCAGTGTGGACTGTATAGGGAAACCCTGTCCCCAAACAAACCATTTAAGTGATACATAGTGAGACTACAGTATTGCCATATCCCAGATATCTGGAAGGATGCCCAGCACAAAGAAGTATATAGATAGATGGGGACAAGGAAGGGGCATTGAGTCACTGATGTCTTCGTTAAGCTGGATACATGGATTCATGAGCAACACATTCAGTTCCTCTTTGCAAACATCAGAAGTTTTCCACACTCTATAGACTTTGTTGGATTTCAGTATTTCCACTTTTTCATCTTAAGTTCAAATCAGTTCACTGAAGATTTGTTAAGTATAATAGTCACGTACCTGGGACTGTCTAAATAAAGGTTATCAAGCTGCTTTGAGGAGTATGAACAGTGTAGCTTCTCCATGGGGCCATGCAGGAGATGCAGAATTCACTGTAAAACCTCAGTGGTGTTAACATTATGCATGACCTGGGAAAGCACAGATAACCTTATCGACCTTTTCAAATTCTGGTTCCTGTTGTCTGTCAATTCACATCTAGCCACTCAGAACTTTCAGACCCTTCTGTGTGTAGACTGTAGTTCCAAGTAAAACATAGACCGATGGCAAAGAGTAGAAATCAAGGAGTGAAAATACCTGCCAGCCCCATATGTCATAAGAAAGCAAAGCCTTTAATGAAATAATGTTAAAATAGACCTTTGGCAAAAGCACCACATCCGACTTGAAATAATATATTCAGCACCACCAACTCTGTGTTAAAGGTATTTAAGTAGTGAGTATTTAAGAGTTATCACAAGACACTGTTTTCACAGCTTCTTTGGTGTTGGCTCTGTAACATGTGGACATTGTAGGCGCAGGAGCATCAATCCTGCAGGTACTCAAGTGTTTGGTATGGGGTTAGCATTACAATAGAAATCTCAAGAGTGCTTGGAGTAGCAAACACAAAAACATCCACTTAAGCTGAATAAACTAGTTTTTCCCCTAAGAAATACAAGGTTACCGAGGACCAAAGGCAGTTGTAGCATCAAATATTTCATCCTACTTCCTAAACTTTTCATACACTAGCAAAGCACAGAAACAATGCCCTGTTTCTGACTTGTGTTTGTTAGCAAGGCAGCATGCTAGTTTTCCACACCTGCACATCTGTATCACCTCTGGATTAGGTATCCTCATTTAAAACCTGACCTGGATGCTATGTGCTTTCAGGATTCTGTTCCACAATAACCTGTTCTTATCGAAGTCTCTTTTAACTGACCTAACAACAATTCTGGTGTGGTTGATAATTCTAAACCGTTGAATGTCTGTGACCTTTCAGAGCTATATAAATACTTGATAGTAGCTTACTCATCAACAAACTAGGAAAAGAAGAGTTCTTAAGAATTCAAAAATATAGTTACATCAATTTAAAAATATCTTTCTGTCACCTTTAATCCCAGCACTCTGGGAGCAGAGGCAGGTGAAGCTGATTTTGAGGCCAGCCTGGTCTACAGAGTGAGTTCCAAAACAGCCAGGGCTACACAGAGAAACCCTGTCTCAAAAACAAACAAACAAACAAATAAAATGGATAAGATAAAATAAAAACATCTTCCTTGTTTGCCTTTTAAACACATCGTGTGCACAAGTACATCTATGTAATTAAAAGGTGCTTCAAGTGTATTCATTCCTCTCAAAGGAAATACGTTATAGATTAAAAAGTTAATGTTACTATTGGTATTTCATCTAATGATTGTGATAAAAAGCAGTTACAAAAAAGGAAATAAAAATTCACTGGCTTATTTCTAAATCACTTACTTCTGTATTGAGGCAACTTTTTGCCAGTAGTTGACATCTTTACATGAGCATATCCCTCACGCATAGCTCATGTCTCTAATCACCGCATGTAAGTTTTGTAAACTTTTGATGCTACTTTTCTCTTGTCATAATATATATTATGCTGCAGTTTGAATTCCTTAAACATTCCATAATGCTTGTTCTTATATTGCAGTGTTAGCCTTGGTGGAAGTTATTCATATTATTAGCAGTTAAAAAGTAGTTCAAGGACTTGAAAACAATGTTAGAATGTCCATGACTCATATGAAATGATTAAATTGCTAAATATACTGAGAAAATAAGGAGATACTGTTGTAATGGGGATGAACTGCAGTGCTGTTTTCCTTTATTTATTATTAACTTAATGGAAAATTGATGGACTATTGAACAGACTGTTATATTAGTAATCTTTCTGAAGATTTCAGCTGGAAATTATGGTTATAATTCACACAAGGGTTAGAAATGCATAGTGAGAAATCACCAGTGACAGGGTAAATTGTGTTTAACACTTAGTTTTGTTTCCACGATGGAAATTTCAATGTGGTTGAGTTTACTGGTTCATCTGGTAATTGATGCCACTTGAAAACCTTCATGCACATGGCTTCAATTTTAAAACCACAGGGCTGAAGTGTTTTTCCATGAGTATCTAAAAAGTCTCTCATGCTGCTCTCTGTGTATTCTAAGCACACTGTATGTGAAGATTTTTATTTATTTGTATTGCACTGAAAACCATATGTGAAATCCTGTCTGTTAGTTAGTGTTTAAGATAGTGTAGTAATTCTACATCACAGCGTAAATGGGCTCCAAAAGTAATTGACCCAACTTATATTTGAATATCAAGATTATAATATATTTTGAGATTGTATTCACTTTTTATTTAGTTGAATTCACATTATTTCTAATTATCAACTATTATTGAACATTAAAAAATTACTAGTCAAAGAGTTTTAATGCTTATTCCAAGAGTTGTACTTGCTTACTACAATACTGAAGGTCTCTTTCCCAGATGATATATGTACATGTCTTATAATATTTAATTTATTAAGCATTTACTATAGGATACAAACTGTGATAAATATTTTAGAAAGCTAGATATGAGGATCATGTAGGTCATTTCACATATGAGTATAATATACACAATTCTTTTGTCCATATTCATAAAATGTTATACTTTATGTAATATATATGCTGTTATACTTTAAAACAGTTATAATACATAAATATACATAAATACATACAACACTGCAATAAGCTTAATTTATAAAATAAGGAAAACCAGCAAGCTTTAATAATTTGCTCAGGATCCCACAGAGACAAGCACCAGCCTAATAGAATTTAAGTTAATTCTGACAATTTTTGTAAGCTGTGCACACATTTATTCTTTTACTGTTAATCAAGTTTATGTCATGATTACCAACATAATCAGGGGCCAAGCTGAGACCAAGCGAGTTCATAATCAAAGATCGCACCTTCGTGTAGCAGTGATTGCTAAAACACATTTGGAACTCCAGTGTAATAAAACAGGGACAGTCCTAAAGCACAGCAGGGACAACAAAGGAATGGAAGGTACTGGAAGCAGCAGACACCTCCCTGACCTTGGCAGAGCCCCTTGTGGGTTCTTGCTGCTTTTTCATATCAGAAAATCCCTCTTGGCATCTTGGTCTTCATTCTTGAACAGCTCACATCTGTAAAGCAGAAGGACTCTCATCTGTTTGCTGGGATTTTGTGAATTGCACGAGTATGACATAGACACTGAAGAGCACAATGCAATTACCAACAGTGAGAAAGGAAATGACTTGTAGCTCTACCGCAGGGGTGTTCCCATACATTCAGAGTTGATTTTTCTTAAGCGGTAGGCGATAGGGGTTGGATTTCAATCTTTTACATGTGGACATTTGGGTTTCCTAGCACCATTTCTGAGGCATTCTTTTCCCCGGTGTGTGATTTTAATGTCTTTGTGAGAACCAGTTGGCAGCAGATGTACAGGTCTGTTTCTGAATCTCAATTCCGTTAGCCTTTGAGTCTGTTTTGTTGCTGTGGGTCGGCAGTGTGTCATGCAGTCTGGTGTGTGAAGCATCAGGCTTTCTTCTTTCTGTTCAAGGTTGCTTTGGCTCTCTGAGGTCCTTTTGCATCCATATAAATATTAGGGTTGTTTTTTCCAGTCTGTGAAAAGGACCATGGGAATTTTGATGGAGATTGCATTTGAGTCTATAGATTGATCTGAATCTATAGAATGATTTGTGTAATGAGGACATTTT